GAGCGAGGAGCGCGACAGCAATGCGCTACTGAGTTCGTCATACACATGTAGACGAGTGGTGTGCGTGACATCACGAGCGACAACCCTGGCGGGAACAGTTCCCAAGCTGGTCAATGGCTGACCGTTCACGGCGACAACCTGGTCGGGGTCAGGTTCCAGATCAGCTACACTGCCACCAAGTCTGCGGAGATGACTAGCACCAATAGCATCAACATCCGAGCCAGTATCTGGCAACCACTCTAACGTGCACGACCGGTCGTTGTCGTCAAGACGTGTTGACAGCATCACTTTGTCACCAGCCTGCACTGCGTGAATGGTGAGGCATGCGATGGTCTTGCGGCACATTGCCGCGAAGTGATCCCTGCCCTTACACTTACGACACTCTTTGCCCTTGGCAGGACACATTGACTTCGTGTGCTGGGATCGTCCGCACTGCGAGCACTTCGCCGGCTTGTCAGCTGCAGCAGATTTCGGCTTACTAACCAAAGCGGATTTGCTGCGTTGATACGATGACCTTGTTGCGGCATTCACGGATGCCGGTACCATGCCGTCACCGGTCTGCTGTGCGGCTTCTTCAGCCCTGCAGATCTTGGCCGCGGTTTCCAAGGTGAGGGACGGAGCTGCCAGGAGCTTATGGCGCGTGTCGTCGTTGGCTATGCCAACTACGATGCGGTCTCGCATCATGTCGTCCGTCACCTTGCGGAGGCTCTGGGGACAAGTACTGCATAGCTGAGGTGTACACGTACTGCACAGCTCCATATCAGGGAAATCGCACTGTGCAAACAGCTCCCTCATTGCAGTAAAGAAGGAGTCAAATGACTCATTGCGCTGCTGCTTTCTATCGTAAAACGCAATTCGATCTAGGAGGGGGTTCCGTTGGCGTCGGATGTACGCTTTTACTGCTATGATGATCTCCGGAGCATCGGCACTGTGGGAGATGACAATCACATCTTCGCGCATGAAACGACGAATGTCGGCATCGAACGCCTGGCGAAGAGCGGACACCCGAGTCTCACGACTTTGGCTGGCGAGGTGCTGGCACACAGCATAATCTCTCCAAGCCTCCTCCCATGCCGTGAAATCGGCCATGGTTGCAGTGCTGAGCAACACCGGTCGCTCGACAGAAATCGGCTTCTGACTGCAGGATGTCGAAGTGCTGGGTGGTGCCTGGTTGTCGCGCGTTGCGTTTTCGACCAGTGTGGTGAGGCGAGTCTCGCGTGCCTCAGCCGCTTTCATCTGCTGCTGCATCAAGGCGAGCAGGGATACGATTTCAGCACTGATTGGGGAAATTCCAGGTTCCGCCATCACGACAATTCTACAAATTCTACAACTACAAGACACTTCTGCTACACGATCGATCGTTTGAAGATAAAAGGCTACAGAATTCACGGACAACTACAGGCTGTCAAGTATTCCGTACTCAGGTTACTAGTAGTTCACTGCGCCATGTTAGGTTCGGTAGACAAGAGACAAGTACAGTAAAACCTGTAACTAACGACCACCGTGACTAGCGACCGGCCTGGTACTACCGACCACTTCGTCAGGCACGGACGGTCTCACATTCAAAATGCACTGTGACTAGCGACTACCTGCTGAACGCGACCAGCGACCGCCTTTTCTTGTCCCAATGTCGAATTTTGACCCGTAACTAGCGACCGCGATGTAGCAAATCAAACATTGCTCGAAGCTCCTTCTCGAAATTTTGATGATTTTCCATGGTCGTTTCGATACTACAGCTGGACAAATGAGCGCAGTCTCATTTTTACTGTGGAATCAGTGTGGACTGCACTACACCTGTCATAATTTCAAGTGCTGTCAAGAACAAACATGATAGGAAACGTCTTGGAGAGCGCATCCAAAGCGCTCTTTGATCGATGTTACTACTCGAAGGAGAAACTAAGACTAAGCGGCTCTCTGTCGAAGTGCAATCACACAGCTCAGTCACCAGGTCACACTGACAGTCTGTGCTGGCTAGCTAGCATGCTACAGTACATGTACTCACCTGTACGGAACACAGCCACAGGCCAGGATACGATGGCGGATAGTATACTAGTCTACAGAGAAGGTGCGAAAACTCGCAACATCGCCGCATCACGTACTGGTACACACCAGTACAGTTTACGCTACACTACATCCAAGTCGGAGCGGATGAGTTTCCACTGTAGATCTACACACTGATACCAGTTGCCAGTGTAGTCGCACACAGATGAGGATGGAGTATAAAAAACTTGATTTTCTCTCTCTCCAAGTGTTGTATGATCTGAAAGAAGAATGTCAGTGCGCAAGTGGTGGGGGATTGTATTATCTGCATTTTGACATACATATCATATAATGGGATCCATATACGGTCGCGCGGTGTAAACCTCTAACTAAAGACCACTTTTCCGGGCACCAAGGGGTGGTCGTTAGTTACAGGTTTTGTTATGTTATGACGTAATGCCGTACAACTTTAGCTCTACTGTGTATGCACGCACGCATATCTTTGAAGGTCTTCTCTGTCGTTTACAGATTGAATCTTGTCAGTTTTTCTACTTCGTATATTCTAACCAATAAACTACAGTAAAACCTGTAACTAACGACCACCCCTTGGTGCCCGGAAAAGTGGTCGTTAGTGGCAGGTGGTCTTTAGTTAGAGGTTTGCACCGCGCGGCCATATAATGGATCCCATTATATGATATGTATGTCAAAATGCAGATAATACAATCCCCCACCACTTGCGCACTGACATTCTTCTTTCAGATCATACAACACTTGGAGAGAGAGAAAATCAAGTTTTTTATACACCGGAAGCGAGACGACCTTTTGACACGTATGTCGACTCACTGGGTTTCCAGAGCAGCGCTGGCCTGGCCAGGCAGTGGACTAGTCACTATCGACTCCATCCTCATCTGTAGCTGTGTGCGACTACACTGGCAACTGGTATCAGTGTGTAGATCTACAGTGGAAACTCAGCCGCTCCGCGACTTGGATGTAGCGAAAACTGTACTGGTGTGTACCAGTACGTAATGCGGCGATGTTGCGAGTTTTCGCACCTTCACTGTAGACTATTATCCGCCATCGTATCCTGGCCTGTGTTCCGTATAGGTGAGTGCCGTAGCATGCGAGCTAGCCAGCACAGACTGTCAGTGTGACCTGGTGACTGAGCTGTGTGATTGCACTTCGACAGAGAGCCGCTCAGTCTTAGTTTCTCCTTCGAGTAGTAACAATTACATCGATCAAAGAGCGCTTTGGATGCGCTCTCCAAGACGTTTCCTATCATGTTTGTTCTTGAAAGCACTTGAAATTATGACAGGTGTAGTGCAGTCCACACTGATTCCACAGTAAAAATGAGACTGCGCTCATTTGTCCAGCTGTAGTATCGAAACGACCATGGAAAATCATCAAAATTTCGAGAAGGAGCTTCAAGCAATGTTTGATTTGCTACATCGCGGTCGCTAGTTACGGGTCAAAATTCGACATTGGGACAAGAAAAGGCGGTCGCTGGTCGCGTTCAGCAGGTAGTCGCTAGTCACAGTGCATTTTGAATGTGAGACCGTCCGTGCCTGGCGAAGTGGTCGGTAGTAGCAGGCTGGTCGCTAGTCACGGTGCCAGTCTTTAGTTACAGGTTTTACTGTAGTTCCTTGACATTAGGTAGCCTTTTCGTGCCTTGTGTGTATCTGAATTGGCCAGTTAGTGATTACTAGTTGTCACCATCCTTCTCCTAGGCACATAATTATATTGCTGGGGGGATGGGTCTAGCCGTACCACCCTGCTCTCCCGGGGAGGTTTCCGTCGCTGAGTAACTCAGATCGAACATGAAAAATCACCCACGAAAAGTCGATCAAAATTTTCCTCGTTTCCGTTCTTGGCCGAGAATGAAACTTGGACAGGTCACTTGGGACAATTGTAAGAGTATACCAGTAACATTTGAAGAGGCTACGATGATTCCTCGAAGAGATTTTGAGGGCTTTCCGGCTTGCAACATATCTCCTATTTGAAACACCCTCCTCTGCCTCCTGCATATTGTTGATTGATATAGAGTTGATACATTCTGCATACAGGCTCGTGTTTAAAGTCGGGGTAAGTGTAGAGGCAGTGTTCAAGGAGGCGGGATGAGATTGAGAGCTCCAAGGCCGAATCACATCTGTAACATTCTACATCATGTCCACGACAGTACATCGGGTTAGCAGACCCAAGTGCTCGAAGTCCGGACACTTTTACAGTGTGTGTTTGCCGAGCTGAAACTCCACTAGCAATGATCACTTGCCAGAATCCTGCTCGTGGATGGAAGGTATCTTGTCCAAGTTTGTTTGAGGCCAGGCTCGATTAAACCGGGACATCTTTCGATCCGATCTGTTTCTCTGCAGTTTGCTGGTTTTTCATATCAAATTTTGGTGTCGCAGAGAGTGCTCTAAGTCCGTACTGCTCAGAGGTGACTCGAAATACACACAATATTTCTGCTAATCGCTAACTTGCAATCCCTCGGTTACGACGAAAGTACCGAAGCGATATGTTTTGCATGTGCCTCCATCAGTATTTCTTGCAAAAGCGTAATTTGTTGCCGAAATTCAAGCTGTTTTTAGTCAGCTCAGAGAAGAAGCAGCTGCGCTGTGAAAACCGCGGGAAAACAGTGGTGGAGATGCCAGGAGTGTCAACCTTTCTGCAAGGATTGGTGGTTCTCTGTAAATTCTTCTCCTCTGGCCATTCTCAGCTCTAAGCTGGCTCTTCATGATTGAGTGAAGGTCTGTTTGACGCTGTGTCCGTTCGAAATCAGTCTTGGCAAAGTTGATTTTTGCATGAAATGTAACCCAATTTGTATTTTGTATGGACACTCGAAAACCCACTCGCGTGGTATGGGACTTCTGCTTATCATAGATCCCTGAAAATTGGTACGCGAGGAGAACATACCACACTGTCCCCTAGATAAAATATTTGACTCCAATACAATAACAGAATTTGAAATTATGTGTGTACGGACTTAGGCTACCATGTCCGGACTTCGAGCACCTGAGTCTACTTACACAAATCTTGTGGTCCTGGTCCCAGGATACATGGCAGCATGATGCATGCTGGATGAACATGACAGCCTGCTTCACTGATGCAGCACATGGTAGATCCAAGCTTGCGTGGCACGGAGCTGCCCAGGAATCCTACACCATCAGTGTGCAGCTATTGGCACAAACGCACACACATACACACCGGCACACACAGTCACACAAACACATACACACACACACACCGGCACACACACACGTGCACACACACACACACACACACACACACACACGGAGGCAACGTGTGAGAATCTGCCAGAGTTTGGGCTAAGGTTACTGGATTGATACACAGCCAGATTGGTTGCCACTTCACATCAACATGCACGGCACCACTATGGCTTGAACACTGTAGCTACGGGTGCTGCGTAATCCTTGCACTGCAGTCATTGTAGCTAGGCTCAGTCGCTATGAACACTGAGGTGTGTATTATAATTGTAGCCTTTGTCATTGAGGTGAATTTTGTCGGCCAGAACTGTACACAATGTCCGGATGTTTTTATGAAGGTCTGTGATCCAAAGCAACAAATTCCCGTTCGGCAATATTCACTTTTGTATCAATGAAACCGTAGATTAACTACTGCATTGGAAGTTGCGGAGAATGCTACTTGTTTTTCCATGTTTTACAAACTTCCATACTTCAAACATCTTGCTTATCATGATGATAAGGGGAGTGTCGTGGTGGTGGGTCTGAACGCACTTAGTCGAACCGCGGTCTCGGCCGTGATGTATTCCCAGTGCACCAAGTGAAAAGAAAAAAAGAGAAAAGAGAAAATAACTGGTAATGCAAGACTGTGCACCAAGTGAAGAAAAAGAAGAGAGAACTAGTGGTTTAAGGCCCACCGAGATCCACACACACGCACGCGCGCACACACACACACACACACACACACACACGCATGTGCACAGAAATTGACTCGGGCAATAAGCAAATGACAGGATTGGTGAAAGGAGGTAATGGAGAAGGGTCAGTACTCAGTTATAGTCGGAGAAGCTGGGAAAGAAGGGAAAGTTCAAGACTAGTCATCAGGTTTCGAGCAGGGTTACGAATCAGAGTGGCAGAGCAGAAGACTGACGGACAGGAGATCAAGAGCCAGCCATGGGCGGATATCAGTTGCCCAGATCCAATCTTTGCATTGGAGCCACTGCTAGGTCCTCAGTTTGAAGGCTTGGAGGCTCTGATGGCAAAGTGCTTCGCTGGGCGTGACTGGTGGCAAGGAATTCCAGGCTGGTATGAAGCTGCAGTGTCTTGTGCAGGAAGGCGATATGTTAGGAGCGCAGATGGCAACCATTCTCAGATGTTCTAGGCTACATAAAGAAGGTGGCTGTCGAAGGTCACCCAGCAGCTTCAGGGATTCCTCTTTGTCAACTGAAAAGCTGTTGAACAGAGTGAGGGAGGGAGGGGGGGGGGTAGCAGTTAGGGTGCTGCAAGATGGTCATTGCCTGGGATTTAGTAAGCACAAAGTGGATCCTCCACTTGCCAGCGGGGGTTCATCAGCTCTCAAAATGCGTCCAAACAGACTCCACATACAGTCACAGATCAACGCTTTGAGAGGCTCGGTGCAACACTGCTCCGTGTAGAGATGCTTGTCGGAAACTTGGCTAGGTCATCGGGTTCCCAACACGGAGCGGAGATGACGACGGCGGAATGATTCCAATGACGACAGATACTGTCCAAGAGAGGGCTTTGGTTTTTTTCACTGGCGCTTTGAGACTGGGGCACTATTCGAGATAGGGCACTATTCGAGATAGGGCACTATTCAAGAGAGGGCACTAGTCGCGCGAGTACGGTATTCTCATACCACTTTCCTGAGTCAAATAGAAGCCACGGCATGCTGGACCCACTCTAGAAAGCTGAGGAAGTCTGTGGGTGACGTTGCAATTTGTAGGCCCATGATCCTGGTAACGACTCTCAGGAAAGTTCTCTCCCTGATCGTCCTAAAGTGTATCTCAAAACAAGGCTATGGTTTCCTCTCGCTGAGGTAAAGAGGCTTTCGGCGAGGCAGATCAACTGCCGATTTAATTATTTTGAAGTATTATTATGGTATCACAGATGGGTCAAAGCAAAAGCACTGCGATACAAGTGGGTTTGCACAATCCTGGGTGTACACACATCCAGAGCATTCGATACCATCAGTACTGTAGAGACAGTCTATTGTTCATCCTCGCCGGATCTCTGGCCGAGGATGAAATCTGCATCACCCGATATCTCTTAGCGTGCACTCGATCACAGGTAAGGATAGGCTCAGAGAGATTTTCTTCCAGGACGGATCTCAGCCATTACAATTTCCACATAATAGTGTTTGATAATTCAAACCTCGAACCGGCAAGTATACCAATTTAGAAGATCCTCGAAATCGACTTGCATGTACATGGAAATGTGTGGGATTCCTGCCAATAATAACTTGGAGTCACAGAAGTATTTCTAAGTTCACCGTGCAATGTTCAGTTCAGAGTGCATAAGCAGACCATACTGGCCAGTCGGATTACATGGAGTGTGTGTCGATGCTGCATATCGCAACTCTATACGACAATGTGCAAAAAGTCACAATAATTATTATAGCATTACGGGTACATTGTGTATTGCTCCCTACATGGGAGCTTGCGCTTTTCCTGCCGGCTTGAATTCTCACTTGACTGACTCACGACTGCCATCCAGAGCAAACGAGAAGTCCATCGAACCGTCCACTCGGCAAATCCGACCCCCGCCGAAGTCGCACCAACCTCTTCTTCACGTTACGGGTATACGTTTAGATAACTAGAATGTCTGGATATTTCGAAGTTTCTGTCAATCAACTCGTATTAAAGGTTCAATTTTATCAGGACTCCACCTCATGTACAGTTCTTAGTGCTCTGATCTGCTCTGTGTAGTACGTAGTACGTACGCTTACTCAGAATCAGAACGTTGAGCTTGTTGCATCGGATCCAAACACTGCTTTGAATTTCAGCTACTGCATTGCTTCGATTCAGTTACAAGCTGATGTTCGCTTGGATAAGTAACGGGGCCAATACCGTACTTGATTTAGTCTTCTGCCTTGAGATCAAGGAAGATTCCCCCTCCCCCCCCCCCCCCCCCCCCCCCGAAGCAGAGTGACACTAACAAAAGCGAAGGGCGTACAACATGCTCCAATGCCACCCTATCTCCGGCTTAGTTACAGCTTCCCATGTGACAGAGTGTTGCTTTGCAATTCGGGTCATAGCCTCCCTCCCCTCTGGCTTGCTTTAGCTGCGCCTTGTGTCGACCGTCCTTGCTGGGGAGTCTGGGGGCATCTGGTTTATCACTAGGTGCCATGCAATCTCTCTCCTTTTTTGTGCCCTGATAACTGCCATCGAGATTCCATGCCGGCAATGGGCCGTTGGACAGGGACTTTAGTATGGCTAGTATTAGTAGTAAGCAACCAATGCAAGCGACAAAGAACCAGGATTAAATTAATGTTCTCTGTAGTTGTGGGCTAACAAAGCTCGTACTTGTACCGTGACTCTTCACTGCATGCTGCCTGTAGTGCGCTAACATCAAACGTGACTGCATGGTGAAAGAGCAGGACGTCGAGTTTGAACCACAACAGGAAAAGTACCAGTAGGGAGTAAAGGGTTCACTAGCCTGTCACAAGTACTAACGTGAAAACACGACGAGAAGAGAGTGCTACATCTACATACTAGCCCAGGCAGAGAGATTGTAGAGCACAACGCGATGCATCGGGTAGCCCAGCATACTACACGTACTACCAGCAACAGACGCACAGCCACAAGGAGCGACACGTACCTCTTCGAGTAGGTGCAGCCATTGTATGGTAGAGTGGTAATCACGGAATCACTCCTGCGATTTGTCATCAGTCTTGTCGATTTCGAGGCTTGATGGAGGACAATAGGCACTCCTCTCGCGTCCTTTGTGGATGCGGCCGGTTCCACTCACATCATGGCATTTCGGTCGTCCATCACCAAAATGGCCGCGGTTGTACATGACTTGTACTAATATTAGTCTATCATCTCCAAGCTGCGCTCCGGTCAATTCAAGAAGGCAGTGTAGTGGCACCTTGTCACTAAGTAAACGGCTTACTTCCGAGTCTTCGCACTGTACTTGTACTTCTCTCTACCACATGGTAACACTGATAGTGATAGTCATGCAGAGAGGACATACATGTAGTTGTCACACAAAGCAAACAGACTGCAAAGTAGCGGCGTTGTCTCGGAGAAACAAATCAAGTCAAGTAACAAAAAAGTTAGCTACACTGTATCTGCACCGAGGGGCGATGTTTTTCCAGCCCACCAATACATACCACCGTCGCCAAATCTCATAGTTGGAAAGACCAAGGAAGTCATGCATTCGTCCTCTTCCTTGTCGACCTAGAATGCACAGGATAATATTGTTATTGTTTCTGTGTACAAAATTAATGTAGTTTATCATCACGGCCCTCATCTAATCCTAGTCAGTCAGTTCTTTCTATCTTGTAGATCTACCGGCACCACCTCTGATCCTGTGAGCTAAAGCTAGCAGTCGCTGATATATCTACATGATTGTACTGCCTAGGTCACTGGTCACTCGAGGTCTACTGGAATGGTTCGCATAGCGAAGTGAAGCCTGGACTGGAGACGCGGAAGCGAAACGATTTTATTGGCGGGCTTTAGACCAGCCGTCATATGGACTGTCTGGCATGGATGGTCGAACTCCATACCCATGGCCAGGCCGGGAATCGTAAAAGCCTTTTACGATTCCCCGCCCATGGCCATGGCATGGGTAGAAATCGTGGATGTAACCGCTCGATGAAAGCGTGACCCTGGATATTCGCGCCGTCTGCCCTGCAGGTCTACCAGCCGGGAAGTGGTGAGTTGGTTCGTGACATTTCGCGCCAGCAAGAGAGAAACAAAGGATAGAGTAGGAGAAGAATAGCAGTGAACAGACTTGTATTATAATTTATTCTCCGTGTCCTGGGTCGGCGGAGCTCTGAATGCATTCTATGCACGAGTCTACGGTAGGGAAAGTAAGCAACTAACGACTGTTACGTGTTACTTAGTTGGAAGCAGGGAGTCGTGGCTTTTACGACTCCCTGGTTGGAAGAAAGTACCCGTAGTTCCTGTTCGTTGTGGTATGTTATGTAATCGTCTACCACGTAGACCTACCGTGTCCTGTCGCTGCTCATGCCTTGGGCTTGGACTTTATCTCCTCATTTTCCGTGTTGCTAAAATTTCTCTTTTCTCTATAAATATATTCTTTTCATTTCAAGCTCCTTTCCCAAGTATCCCATGTACACTCGGACCTCATTCGCTTCCTTCCCATTGGATCTTTCGAACCTTTCAGTTCATTCGGATTGCGAACAAACACAACCAACCAACCAAGTAAACGAGAGGACTTGAAAGCCCAGGAGCCCTCGCTATACTTTGTTTTTACCTACATGTAGGTCCTGGTCATCATGTGTGTTATTCGAACTGATAGAAACGTCTTTGCGATACAGAAAACATGTGCCCGATATTACGGCGATAATCGTAGATTCTATGCCTAGGCTATGGTTCCTTCCTTCTCTGCTCTGTAGATCTACTGCTCAATGCAAACCGATCCAGCGAGTGGATGCCACGCTGGGCGCTGTGTAGCCCTCACTCAGATCAGATCTGCGAACACCGGGATGTAAACTAGGGACCGGCGGATTCTGCTCGAAAAGATGGCAGATTCTGCTCGAAAAGCAGTGAAATTGGCAGAACCATACAAACCTTATTGCGGGCAATTCCTCGAATCAGTTCTGCTCCATTTTTTTATCCACATACCACACATGCATGAAACCAGGGAGTCGTAAAAGGGCTTTTACGACTCCCTGCATGAAACTAATTACTTACCAGAAAAAGTACCGAATTCTGCCAATTTTTCTGCCGGCAGACCTAACGTAAACTGGTGCAGCCTGCAGGGCGCAGACTTGATTCAAGCGAGCGGACTTCGTTGAGCAGCACTACTTAGTACTTGTAGCAGTCTAGCACTGACACTGACAGTCATGTGCCAGTGCATGTAGATCTAGGGCCTAGGCCTAGGGTACTGTAATAATTAGGGCTCAAACGGTCACGGTTTCACCCCTGACGGTTAAAGGGGAAGTCCGGTGAAAAATTTAAATTTCACAGTCCGTAGAGTTCGGGTCGCTGAGTCGAATGGTCTTTGTCCGAGGAGGCTGCGGCTTATGGTTCGTCAGATACGCCCAATCGAACATGTGCGAATTTGAGCGCGCATCACCCAGATCCAGGTGATGACGTCACAGCGTGCAGCCAGGTAGCCACACCATCTAGTTGTGTACAAAAATGGCCATATTCGGAGCGCGTTCGATTGGGGAACCGTTTGTCGCAGCTTCTTCGGACCAAGACCATTCGATTCAGTGTTACAAACACTACGTACCCTGTGATTTTCAGCTCGGTAAACCTGGAGGTTATACCGTATTTTAGCCGTTTCCGAGTTGGACTTTTCCGTCAGCCCGTCTACCATGCCCATGGTCTACGGCTCTACCGTCTACGCGCTCTGCGCTGCGTGCATGTAGTGCGTGCAGTGTGTTATCTAGCTGTAGTGCAGTCAACAAACTCATGTCACAACTGACACAAGACTCAGAAAACTAGTCAACACACGTACTTGTCATACACTCGACTCGTATCAGTCGTATTGTACAGTCACGTAGTCAGAGAACGTGCGTTTCTCCTTGCCGGTGCCGGTGATTGTGCTTTGAGAAAGAAAATTATTTTTAGTTTTCCGCTCCCGACTCATTATTTTATGCTACAGCGATGAGTGCACAACCGTGACAAGTGACAAAACAGCGAACAGCTCCCGGACCTAGAACTTTCAGATTCCATAGCGTTGCGAGCGAAGAGTCGTGCCCGTGGTTCAAAGAGCCTGCACTGTTCTCCAATTGAGTAGTCCGAAATATTCCAAGTTCGCACCAAAACATCACCATGTGGCAGGCTACTGGAGTCTAAGCGAATCTAATCGGTATGGAACAACATTTAGAGCACTCGCATCACTCTTCTCCATTTTGGCGACCCTGCTCTCCAGCGATCTGATAATTACATCAGCCTCGTCTGCAATAGCTGCTGCTTCTTCATCAGTCGGAAACTCAGTAGCGCTGACTCTTGACCGGCCCGGCCCGTGCGGCCATTTCTTCAGCTGAATACCGAGGTTCTCAGCCCCAGACCGAACTCATGAAGGTCAGCCATGGCTGCATCCTCACTCTCACAAGGAGTTACAGGTCTTCGGGGTCGCTTGCACCACCTAATATCAGTCACCAAATCATTTGAAATAGCACTGACACTATTGCTTTCACGCACTGCTTTTGACCTAGCTGCACGCTATGACGTTGCAGAGGGTGTGGCGCGGCCGCATGACGTCATGGCGCAGCCCCCGAAACTCAGTTTTTCAAACGGAAATATCTCGAGAACGCTTTGTCGGAGACACGTGGGACCAACACCATTCGACTCAGCGCCCGGAACTCTACCGACCCTGAAATTTAAATTTTTCACCGGACTTCCCCTTTAACTGCTAAGCTAACGGTCGGTTAACCGGTTATAGCCTATAAGCCAGGGCAATCCTGCGGACTCTTTTTTAACCGTATATTTGACTAAACTCGTTCAAAAAAATTACCCTATTCAGTACAACGCACACTTGTACATTCTCTTGCATGCTCATTCATACATACGCTCACACCAAGAGACCAGATATGACCGAGTTGACAGCCAAGAAATTGCGTACGCGTGCGACAGCCCGCGAAAGTGCACACTTTGCAACGACCTGATACTTGAAAAATTGACTGAAAAGTTACTGCGTAACCGTTATCTTTATCGGTTAACCGTTAATTCTTCGTAACCGGTCTGCAACCGGTTAATCGGACTAACCGTTTGAGCCCTAGTAATAATGTCTGGCCTATAGCCGGAGCCTGCCGGACAGTCTCGACTTTGACCTTTTCAGGCGTTTATTATGCATACACACTTTCTATGCCATGGCCACATCGACTTCAATAGGCAACGTTTCCAGTACAGGCGCAAAAGGTCAAAGTCGAGACTGTACCTACAAGTATTAGTTACTTATAAGCAGGGAGTCATAAACATCATAAAAGGGCTTTTACGACTCCCTAGATCCCTGCTTATCATTCAGGGTCCTTTCTTTTCCATTCTTCCGCCGCCATTTTTCCACCATGTGATCACGAGCAAGACATGTAAAATTATGTAGTTGATATGCGGGGCCAATGGGAGCTAGCTACACGGTGTAGTCACCAATGCCAGGCATCTTTTCACCCTGCAGTCAAGGGTCCGACTCAAGGCTATCGCAGTACCGGGCTTGACTTGATGCATATGCCGACATGAGCTGTCGAGCTAAGCTGCCGTGATCATGGTGATCACCAGACAATACGTTCAGCCCGACGACGAACCTTGACCATTGCATTGTAGAAGTCTACGTCCTACACTACAGCACAAGTCATGTAGTCAAGTGGCACGCCTCCGTTTACTTTTAGGACCCCAGTTAGTGTGAACAGGCATAGTGGATTAGTGCCCTAGTGGTGGCCTGCGGATGCGAAGGCTAGTTTGTGTGTTTCTGAACATTCAAGCGATGCCGACGCGGATCCCGCGAATATTATTATTATTAGTTAGTGTGAACTAATTACTTCATAGTCCTACTCGTTCTAGCCGAAAGTAATTCAGTAGCGCACAGTACATTCCCAAAGCACACAAGGCAAGGCCAGGAAGAGTGGAGACATACCGGCATAAGTAAATTACCTTTTAGCAATGCCATCATAAGATAGACAAGAGGGCCACTGCAGATTATCACAATCGAATCGTTGTGGCGTGGTGATGTACAAAATAGTCACGTCGTCGCTTTGTGGCCAGCACCCTGGCTTCAGTGGCTTGGCCCTCACTGGGATTCCGTACTATACCGAGGTGTGAGTGGACAATGTAAGCTCTACAGACTACAGTACAGATATCGCCGGTATGTGTCAGAGTA